GCGGCCTATGGTCCATTGGGAGTAACAGGCGTAAGTAAGTAAGTAAGTAAGTAATATTTTTTCCATGAAAACTATAGTAATGGTACTATTCGATCCAGATGCTTTTTGTAGCTGAACAATGAAGTAATTGTGTCGAAAAAAATCTGAACATTACTACCGAACTGTATTTGACCAAACTAGGCTTCAACCAGAGATCATCTCTCTCCAAGCCAATCAAGAGACCAGGAAAAATTCCTAATACCTGAATCGAGGATAGGAAAGCTATCAATCCGTCATACGATTATGTCGGTGGTTCCGATTGTTTATCTCAGTAACGGATCTGAGATTCCAATAAGGATAGACATCCTGTTGATGGATTCGACGAAGAAACTGCAAATATTTAATTTAACGTAATGATCCCAGTTGTGTTCTTTTGTTTTAGTCACTTGTTTGTGAATAGTATCACAATGATAGACGATATCAAAATCTTAACTAAATTGTCAGTCAGAGTCCAAGTTTGCCAAACAACCACATTGAACTTTCTTCACACCCCATGATAATCATTAAAATTCGTAGTCAGTTACCTGACAAACCCGGATGTGAGTAAGGATATTAGACTGTTTTATAATGGTAGCTATTGCTATGACTTCTTTTCTATCCCCTATGTAATTTTTCTTTACAGTGAAAGGTATTTGGACAGGGAAACTGATTAAATTTTCGGAACAGTCGTTTAAGCGTAAAACATACTTTCATCAACGTTATAGTTGAAATTATCAGTAATAACGAAATTTATATGTTTTCGATTGATGGAATATTTTAACTAAAAAACATTTGTGTCTGTTCGCTTTGAAGTCAGAGGAATGAGTCCTTAACAGATCGTCTTAGAAGAATGAATCAGGTAATCAACTGATCACATGTAGTAAGATTGAATTAAAAATAATTTGAATGGTGATTATATTTTATCATCTGTTCGACAGATGAGAAACCATTTTATCAAAGGACCACATGAGTTCAGATACTACATCAGATATGAATTATTTAATAGTAAAACTACCATATTTAACGTAATAAACAGTTAGCGATGTCAGATAATCAATGAAATGTATGCAACAGCGCAGTGTTTCCCTTATGCGGTTTTGCATGTCCAAATATGTAACACTGAATCTAGTTTATCATCTGTTAGTTGACATCTCAGTTTGGACTAGAAATGAAGTACACACATGAAAACTCTTGGCCATAAATATAAGTTGACCCCAACAAACAAACAATTTACCAGTAAAATGTTTCTGATTATAAAATTTAGTCATCTTTGCATATTTAAAACACTTATTCAGGATGTTTTAATCAAAGACTTCTGCTAGTTTCACGTGAAGGTAATGATCAATGACCTTAATATCAAAATTAAACTGATGCACTCATTAAAATCATCAAATGTTATGAGAATCCAAGTTTGAGACTTGTCATCTGATGGCTGAATTTTCAAGGAAATTCCAGTCAAACGGCATGTTTGTTCAAAATTGGGAAATTAAAATAGTTAGGTTACTTAACTTTCTGAAATAATGTGCTCAATTTAATTTCACGTTCCATTTTCTCATGTTTTATTATAAATCCTCTTTTTTCCCTAAAACAATTCCTAATTATCTCACTTATGGCTGTTTTTATGTATATTTTTGAAATATCTAACCAGCCGCATAAAATTCGAAATCTGTGAGGATTAATTTATACACCAAGGGACTAGTCGATTGAATTAAGATTTAATCACCTAATACAAATACACTTGATAAGTAACTCTCTCATTCTGTTTAAAGTTACAGTAAACAAACTGTTTAACGTGAAATTGTAATCTTTACTGGACAGAGAATACTAATTTACAAATACTCTTAATTATCTATGAAGTGAAATTCACTTAGTATGAGACATCAGACTAGTAAGATTGCTTTTATCTGGGGATGATTCTACGTTGATCACTGTTTCTTTACACATATTACTGCAAGAGTAGTGTGAAAATAATAATGACATCCCACAAACTTACACGCCATATATTTAAAAATGAGGTTTAGGATTGAGAAATTTTTATCCGATAGATTGGTCATTTACTAAGATCAGTTTACTCAAACCTTAGCTATAGTCAAGTTAACCTATCTGAGATCTTTAGCAATGTGTTGCAAGCAAAGCCAAATAGCTTGATGCTTACTAAACAAAATGATTTCACTGTGCATCTAATCAAAATGTGGTTTTCGTATTTTTTTAAGTTCTCCTGGAATTGTTACAGATTATCTTGAATCTTTTCATCAACAAAACGTTTTCTATGGTTAAAGCGAATCAATGCTAACTTAAATTTCCGAATCAATTCGACTAGCTGATTCTGCTCCAAAATGATAACTTTGCCTAGGCTAGGGTTGTAATTTTAGTGAAAGATTCAAATATTAATATTTTATAATTAGATAATTTGAATACTTCAAGCTTATTTTTATTAAAATTGGTTACAGCTGTTCAATACACGAAAATATATTCTGTTGGTACATTTTGGTAACAAGTTGACGTAGTTATTATTGCGCAACTTGAAAACAGATCCCCCGAATTTCTATCGTTAACTTGTCATCAATGAAGCTAATCAGGTTGAGGGGAAACGGTAACTCACTGATAGTGTTAAATGAAACTCGCCTGAAATAAATGACTGAAGTTGGAAATGTGATCTATCGAATTCCGGCTAATTAGTTAGACCGCCTGATGTTTGCCAATAAACCTGCAGTCTACGGTTTCAATCATCTGTGTATGTAATACATGCGTATCACTGGAGTCTCTCTGAACAGATTTATTGAAAATCAAGAGTTTGAAGATCAGAACATCGGTGTCTTTTAAATAACATATACTGATTATCGAAAAATTCTAGTCATCTGGAGACATTCTCATTTAATTTCAGGAAGATATCTCTCTTCTGGCTGCATATGCAATCAGAATGCCCAGAATATTCGTTACTTATTGATTCATCATGGATTCCTCCCAAATGACTTAATTTAAATATTCAATCTTAGCTAACAAGGTTAACTTATCTGAAAACGAATATTAACTGATATCATTGGATAATTAATATGCTAAATTACTAGTCATTTCTACTTTGACGATTCCAGACAGTAATCTACATCCAATGATTTACTGTAATTATGTTTAATCAGGAAATCAATATCATAAACTTAAGTCTCATATGAATTCAGAAACCATAAACTAGTGAGAAAGACTTTTATATGAATGAGAAAACTTCGGGTATATTTTTTTCAATTTTTAAAATGGTCGCTTAGAAAACTGTTTTTGAACAAGTCACTTTTTGTTATGCACTCTAAAGAGAAATGAGCCTGAACCTTTGCAAGTGAAAATAAGTAAGGAAATAACCCATCTTAAACCATACAAGTTTCAGGTGAATTTGATAAGTAATACACTTTACTTACTTGTCGAGGTAACATTTTATGTGAAACAAGGAAAAGGTTAAAAAAGAATTTTAAAAAAAATCAAATTCTTTATTTTGCACGAATCCTTAGAGAAATGAAAAGATTACAGAAGTCGAATAAAACACCCAACCAAAGTCTTATAAGTATGATTCGAAGTTGATACGGAATCAAATGTCAGCAAAATATAAATACTATTGGATCGTAACATCGTTTGGATTTACAGATAACCGTGAAAAGTATTCTTTATTTGAAACAAAAACTACCAAACGGGAATTTAGATAAGCAAATGGAAATCTGATATAAATCTTGGACTCTGTGGTGCCGTCCAAAACTGATTCCAACATATATTTAAATTATGTACTTTAAGCGTAAAAATACCTATTAAGCATATTCAAAGTCATAGATATTAACATTCCTTTACTGATATGCAGTAAACTTATTTCAGTGTCTTAGTTTCAATTATCTTAAATCCTTTAAATATCAAACACATTGTACTACAATTTAATTATTGAACTGAAAAATGACAGTACGCACTTGTTTTTTAGAATTCGGACAACATTTTGAAGTAAACAATATTAAAAGTTGACATCACGAGATGTATTCCGGTAGAGATACTGAAAAACCATTTCATCTTAGGATGTTTTATAGCTAAATTCAGTTCATACTTTAAATTAATATGCATCTGGATAATCGCCAAAAATGTCATTCTGATAAATTTTAAAATGTTTATATTATCATAGAATTTAGAAAAAGATATTCATTAAGGAAATTATGCTTTGATAGCTTACAATAAACTACAAAGATTATAGTCTAAGTGTAGTAATCTCTTCAAAGTTGATTTTTATGTCTCTGACAATCACCTTAGTTGCCGGTAATGGATTTTAGCTACTACGTCTAAATTATTTCATAATCACTACGAGAATCTAATTAACTTCGATGGAGATACCTTGAATAATCGTTTAAAGGCATATTAGATAAAAAAATAATCTTGGCTCAGTAGAACTCAGACATGAATACATGAACAGATACACTATGATGAAAGTTTGAAATTCCCTTATAAATTTATACTTAAATCATTCCTGATCTCAGTAGCTGAAATAAATTTGAAATTAGAATACTGTTGTTGAACAAGCACGATTATTTTATACTTACTTATTTAATTTTCGGTTAATGTTTTACTCTAAAAGGTTGATATCGTAATATACAACACTTTATAGATTATACTATCTCTCATATTTTCAATAATCACTATATACTCATTCAGTTTCATATTTATTTTGACTGAGATCATGAACCGATTGATGCTAAACCACCATTACAAACCTGGAAGCACTGAATGGTCATTTTGTCCTATTGTGAGACAACTCATCAGTTCTCATCCACGATCCCGCTCGTGGAATTCAACTACTTAACCTCTAGACCATTGAGTCGACATCCAACGGTGTTAATATTTAGCCTCAACCAATCCACGAAATTGCCCGAACATCTTCCATTATGCTGAGATAGATACCTGTCTCTACCCGATACAGATTAGCTCCACTGATCATAGCTTATTTATTCAATAGATCAACTACTATCGGTAGTATATTTCTTTATTATATAACATTCTTTAGCTAAACTATTTCTCTTTATTAAACGTTTAAATAATAATATTGAAATATTAAATTGCATACAAGTAAGAATAACAAAAGATTCATCAGTAGTTCCTATATTGTTTCTCTTTGTTGCTAACTGTTAATTCCTTCATTATGGATAATTTAATTTAGTTTATAATAAGAAGATATATATATATTGATGATTGTTTCTTGTTTCTTTTTTTTTCATTTTTTGCATTTTTTTAAAATACATTCCAAATGATAAAACATTTTCATAAGTTTCATTATTCCAAATTAGATGATTCTAAACAATTTTCTAAGCGTCTATTGAGACGTTGAATAACTAAAATTTTACAAAAATAAATAATTATTTAATTTATTTAACTTACGAATAACTAAAACTTCTGCTATTTTCTCGCCTAAACCATCTTCTTTGAAATAACTTTTAACTTTATTACGAAATATTGTTAAGTGTTTTAACGTTAACACTTTGAGTTTATCAGTAGTATCCGATAGCATTTTTCGCTATAATAATTTTTAAGAAAATAAATCAATTCACTTACCAGTAGAAATTCATTATTTTCTTCAGGTCTTGCTCTGATAGTAATATAAGTAAAGAAAATAAGTGTGTGTGTGAGTTAATTTATGCAAACTTCCGATTTTTTTTTTGATGAAATAAACAGAATCAAGATTAAATGTTTACTTTGAAAGTGAGACAGATATCACAGATGGCATTGATCAAGAGTTATGTTGTTTGGGTTTTTTTATTTGAAAGCGCTAAAAATGCTCACACAATGGTGTAGAGATAAAATAATATTCATTGAACCTAAGGATCTTTAACTCGATCCCGCCTTATTTGGTTTATGTTAATTATTAACACGTTTCAAAACAGGAAGAATATGGCTGTATATTTTTCCTAATGCTTCAGTCATTCTCTACATTATGTTATTCTATAATGATAACAATACTTTTAGCTTAGAATTTAGATCTACTTGTAAACATTTCCTGTTATATAAATACGTTCTAAGTAGAAGTTTCAACTGAGCTTTTTGGTCCCTAACATGAGTTTAATGTTTAGAAAAGCGCTTGTGATCTCACCTAAATCGTCACTCAGTCATTAGGATGATTCGTTTGAATTTTACAATTCAAAAATGATGTCAACAAAAAACAAATATTAATACTAATAAAAGATCGATCATCGATTCTATGATTAAGGTCACTGTAAAGAAATTAAAGTTTGACTGTTTTATCTCTGTCGTCAATAATAATGATAATAATAATTATTTTTATGAAACGGTATTGAACATGTAACCAAGGTGATTAGAATCACACACTTTTGAATACATGTATATTCTTCTTCGTCAGCAACTTAACCATATATAAGACGTGATTATTGTTACTAACATAGTTAGAAATTCAAATCTTCGTTACATACATTATTCATAAAATAATATAATTTGAACGGCTGATAAAGAATCATTCTACGCTAAATAGATATTTGTACTTTGCAACTCAACAGTACAGCCAACAATATATATATATATATATATATATATATATATATATATATATATATATATATATATATATATATATATATATATATATATATGATCTGCATATACATATATTCAAACAACTTTTTATTTTTGCTCACATAGTATTAATGCCATTATTTTACTTGAACTTCCCGATCTGATAGGTTATTTGCATGTATGTGAGTGATTTCCTTGAGATTCTATGAACCTATGGTAAATCTTTATATTTAAAAACCCTTGACTTAATGAAAGAAGTTACTAGTGTGTTGATAAAATTACTGATTAATCGCAGTTTCCATATACTTCTGTTATTATAAACTAAGAGTTAATTACTGACAACTTTGTAACGAACTTTCAATGCGCTGCTAGAAATCATGTCGAGACCGAAACAGTGATCACTATTGACGTTGGCTGAAATTCAGATAATAAGGTAAACTATATACAGGTGAGAACGTGAATATTATGTTCAAACTCTGAAGATCTTAAGCTTGATCTCATTTCTATGTGACGAATGAATGTTCTCTTCATAGTGACTACCTTAACGAACAAGTTGATCATATTCAAATGTCACAAATTATGCAATATATTGATCTACTTAGACTTTTATTCAATATTTACGTCCATATATTTAGTTTAAATGTACGAGATGAATAATAAGACCTGAAGTAAAACTAAATGTATGTATTATTCATCAAATTCTAACAAAAAGTGGATACTATAGACTATTGTTAAACTAATTAACTTCTTAAACGTGATCAACATAAAACTAATATCATTAAAACAATTAAATTTTGCCCTAATAGAATTTATTATTATTATACAGTTATATAAATAAAACTTACTCAGCAAAAACTAATGTTACAAGGACTAATAAGCTTAAAACTAAGATGAATTTCATATTACAGTATAAGTTTACCAATAAATATTTAATGGCTAATAAAATTATCATGCTTAAGCTTTTATATTATAATTGACTAAGTAGGAATCACGCCATATTAGACAATAACGCGGATGGAGACAGACAGACAGCAAGAGGAGGAGAGAGAGTAAATGAGTGGGAAACAACTTACGAAGATGTGAGGTACCATTAGCCGTTGTAAACAACTTACTATGTAACAGACAACTAATAATTTATATATTGACTATTAGTGATAAACTTGTAAGTCAGTTGATATATCTAATGTTTATATTTCCAAACATTTTTTCTAGATAATACCCAATTCAATTAAATCATATGTTTATAAGTTCCTAGATTAGTTCAATAAATATAACTTGGATACTTGTTCGTTAAACAACAAAACAATTCATTAGTTTTTCAGAAAATCCTGTCTGATTTATCAAATTCAACAAATTGCAGGATGTTCATTCATTTTTTGTACTGTAAAACCGAAACATTCTGTAAATTAGTGAGGTGTGATCATTGTGTAAAAAATGTACGACATTATATTTGCAGAGTTCACAGTAAGTTCATAATTATCTGATGATATTTTAAACAAATTCTGAGGTGCAGTTGCATCCAGCTGATGCAGCCCGTATAGGACAAAACGTACGTCCTGGATTCAACAGATAGCCATCATCCGTCTCTTCCTTAAATGCTTGTAATCTGCTAGCAATATCAAGACAATCCTCACACGTACACATATCATAAAAAAATTGATCGATTCCAGTCCTAAACATTAATGGGAAGATCCAAACAACCAATATATTTGAATTATTATCTGATAATACTTCGAATGTATGAATGTGTAACTTTCATACTTTAGGAGACAATATATACATTTAATTAATTACTCTTACTGACGTTTCCATTGTGCAGTAAACAAAGCAACAATTTGGAGTATGTGGATTCATCAGGAAAAGGTTGTTTTAACTGGTTCACTGAACCATCAATTTTATTCAGAATATAAACTTTCACTAAACTTAGTTTCTGCTAAATTATCATGTGCATGTCTGTTTTAGGTGAAATCTACTCTCTTTCTCTCTCTCTCTTCGTCTCATTTTAGATAGTTTGGAGAGGCTAACTGTTAAATCAATGTGAATTTGAGAGACATGATCAACAGAACCAGTAGTATTCTACTGAATTCTTCAGAATCTAAACATAGAACATTGAGGATGTTTGGTGATAATGAATACGAGAATTTAGAATACTCGTTTCGGTTTTTGTATCATTAGTTGACTAAATGTACTGCCATCGGTGCTACAACCCTTCATCAATTAATTCACATTTTGAAATACTCGACATTATGAATGTATTAGTGTTATAATTGTCTGATATCTATTGATAGTGATAAGTTAACACTAGAGTTGATGTCGTTCAGAAATTTGAAGTTGGCGGTTGATGAATTTCTATCCCATTTGTAATATCTCTATGGGTATAAATCTGTGTATTTGATAAGTTACGAATAACCATGAACAATTATAAGACTTCCCTACAAGCTGTGTGTTAAAGAATAATAACCAAACATTTTTTAATTTTGTAAACATTTATCAAGTTTGAAGTACATACTTGTGTAAAATATGTAAAATTTAACACAAAAGCAACGAAAATCTAGGTACTTACAAAAAGTTTAAACAGTATAACATTTAATTCTTTCCGTAAATATTAACTTGACAGTTATGATATCTTGGAAATGCTATGTATATCATTATATTTTATCCCTACTTCGAAATCGTTAGTTAATCCTTGAGTATATGTTGGCTTACGAGACTTGACATTCCACTTAATGGATAATTAACATCTTAAACAATTTTCAATGATCAAGTACTTTCTAGTACGTTGGGAAACATACATCATTGACCTGAAAATTTCACTAGTCACCCTTTTTGTATGTAGATAAATTATAGTCCACGTAATTGATTAGTGCTAACAATGTTGTCAATCACATATGCAGAAAAGTTCAGGAATAGTTATTTGAATAAGTATAGTGGTAACCAACAAGAATATAATGATTCATTTATTATTCAGTAAAAACTTGTATAGGCTTATCTTGTATGTGAATCTCAGAAACTTCTAAAGGATATCTAGAAACCAAATCATTATGAGCTTCGCTAATAAGCTTTATTAAGTGTCTAACTTACTTCTAATTTCAGTATATTTTCTAGAATGAACCAGAGTCCCAAGGTTGATCCTGACACCATAAAAATACCTTATGTTTCTCTAAGGTACGCTAAATGTAAAAGTAAAGCTTTTTTATACTTTCTCCTTTTGGTTTATTTTTTATATTCAAAATTTTAAGACCTATGGAGTTCAGAAATCGGCTAGAAAGTCAATATCTTAAACCTTCAGTTTAATAGATATATCACTCTATTTTATGTGAAGGCAATATTGATAGCTCATTAGTACTCTAATGACTGGTTATCATTACTACTACATCGTAACTTGATCGATAAAATTAGATCAATATCGAGTACTAGATAATATGAAATTAGTGATTATTGAATGGTAACTTATAATTTAAACACTTGAATTCTTGTTTCTAGGAATTTAATCAAGTACAGTTATATATTCTGAGGGAGAGATTAATGTGTGTAGGAACTGAAAGATTGACTTCATGATACATGTTTATTTGATTTACAGAAATCTTCGATCATCTGCAAAAATAGATTATCGAAATTGAGATTATTTAAATTTGAAAATGATTTCGACAAGTATTTCATAGTAATATGCATAAGTATTAAACTAATAAAGCTTTATTTTATGAATAACCATATAACTGAGACTTATGCATACATAAACACGAATTAATGACAGTTGAGAAAAGTAACTATGTCCAGTGATGTACCCTGAGATATATATATATATATATGGACAACATTTTAAAAGTTTATTTGTTTCGTGACTATAAATATAATTGTGTATTACTAATTTGTTGATATTTAGATTAGTGTCAATTATAAAATGTTTTTATCTAGTTAAAACAACTTCCTGTAACGTATTTGTACAGAAAAAAAAAGAATAAAGTAAACAAATGTTGTTATGTAATACAAAAGTACTTCAATGATTTTAGTATGAAAACATTTTTATTTACACTACAATATGATTGAATGAAGAGTACTTTTTTGAGAGAGATAATTACTTACTTACTTACTCCTGTTACTCCTCGTGGAGGAACATAGGCCGCCCACCAGCACTCTCCATCTAATCCTATCCTGCGCAATCTTTTCTAGCTCTTTCCAGTTGTTATTCATCCTTTTCCTATCTGTTTCTATTTCCCGATGTAATGTGTTCCTTGGCCTTCCTCTTTTCCGTTTCCCTTCAGGATACCAAATTAGTGCTTGCAGTTTGATGATTTTCTCAATGTTTTTCTCTATCCATTTCAATCGTCTTTTCCTAATTTCCTCTTCAATTGAAAGCTGGTTTGTTCTCTCCCACAGTGCTTTGTTGCTGATGGTATCCGATTAATGGATGTTAAGTATCTTGCGTGGAGAGAGGGGAGATTAGTATAATTAAATGGGTTTTTTGAGATCTCAGATGGGTATTTTGTTTTAATATGATATGACATCAACAGACAATTAAATATTTTAAATCGGTAGCTTTCTTTGAAGAAATTTTAAAGACATTGCTTTTTAGTTTTATCTTATACTCTTAATGGTGAATGCAACTTATAAAATGTTAATCATGAAATCTCTCCATGGTGATTTAGAGATTTACTTTGTCGTTGACCAGTTAGTATACTAGCTTAAAATTTCTTGATATAATATATCTCTATGCTTACAATTTCTTTCAGTGGTAAGGTGAGTTTTGAAATTATTTAAGTGGTTTATTTTCTTAAATGATAACTAAATTTTCCTAATTAATTAGAGGGAAATGTTTTCGATTTTATCAACTGGGTAATTTTGTGTTTCATTCATATTCATGATTGCTGTTTGAAACGATAGATACAAGATTAGAGTCACACTGGAAAGACTAACATAGATGTAAGTATATTCAACTGATAAATCCCAAACAGAATAAAATATGGGTTTTGCATTGAACATCTAGGTTGTATCTAAAATATCGTCAAGACGTATCCTCTGATACTACAAAGAGTTTACCTACTATAACTGAAATTATGTCAACAAACACTTACTATTACTCTGTATTGTACATTATATTCCATTCAGTTTTCTTAATCACTAGATAAGAGTAAATAAATATGAATAATTTCTACAAAATGATCACTTTTTTTCATAAAATAATCGAAACTAATAACTATTCAGCATCTAAGTTATTATAAGAAACGTGACAACAAATATATTCAGCTTTTGACGCATAACTTGTAACAACATTTGAGAATAGAAGTAAACTGATTTCAGAATCTGATCACTTTTTTCGGATACGGTGTATTTCACTGATAAGAAAAATATATCAAGTGTGATTGATACAGTACACCAAATAAATTTAAACAAAGTCTTTTTGAATAATATAACAGATTCTACTCAATATGCGGCTTGATTTGTAGTGAACAAGAACACCAGTGGGGACAATCGAATGTATTTAGCACAAAATTACAGAGTTACTCGGTAAAATAGAAAAACCTATAGCGAATCGTTAATTTGCAAAATATCAATCTATCATATCAACCTCGACTGTCCTTGTTGCAAACATCAATCCATTGTCTCATATTTTATTGTTCATGCATTTTCTTACAAATTGCATTGTGTTTCCGCTCTTCCTTCCTTAATCTTCCCCCATCTTCTGCTGGCAGACATATACTACTTATATCAATATAAGTAGCACGCACCATAGATTTGCATACAGTTTAAGATATCGGTAACTATTTTGATAAACCTGATCTCTGAATTCACAATAATTTATTACAGCCTCTCTTCCTACTTTTGCCATTCGTCTGATCAAATTACAACTAGTTACAAATGATATATTAAAGCTCTTTTTACTTACCTTTTGCTAAATAACAATTAGTACTATTTATCATTTGATTCTTTTACATAAATAGTGTTCATATTTCAGATTATCAAACAATAATGACATAAGAATTGTGTAATTAGTCATTTTTCTTTTAACAATTTAACCCATGTACAACAACTGATGAAGAGTAATATGAATTAATTTTACTGAGTAGTTTCGTTTCAGCTGCTTACAATCGTATATGCATAGGATACTATTAAGTAGTAAACGTTAGTAACTGAAAA